CAGCAAATACAATAAAGGGGGTAATCCTTCATATTTTTATTTTAAATAATATATATGGCCATGTGAATAATGTACCATTGACAGAAAGATTAGAGGCAAAAAGGCTATAGCGCTATCTGCTATCAGCCCATCTGCCTTCCTCATATGCTGCTACAACCATTTTGTCACCTCTACTCCTGGAGTTTTTTAAAAACATTTTAAAAAATTCTCTACCTTATCAACACCCAGAAAAAATGGCAACAAATGAAGACAAAGTTCAAAATGAAAAGTTGATGACAAGCAATAGATTTCTCCATTTTAATTATTTTATTTATAAACCTGTTAGAGATTAGAGTGGATTATAAAGAGTATGCCAAGGTTTTGAGATTTAATTTGGGTTATATAAGCAGGGACAACAAATGAGGCATCCCTCTCCAAGTAATTTCTCAAGTATTTCTATGATCCTCAATGCATTGACAAGGAAACCAAGACACAGAAGAGAGAAGTAAATGAGGTAATGTGCAGAATCTGAGGAGGATAGGAAATGGAACAGAATTCCTGATTCTGACAGATTCCAGTTAAGTCTTATAACATTTTGGTGGCAGAAAAATCACCTGGCACTCTTGCTTTCAATGCATAATCCTAGGCCCCAGCCCAGACAAGTACATCAGACTCAGGAGGCTGCACTTATGGGTGTCAATTTGAATGTCATGATCCATTGGCCAGGGGTCAGGAGTCATACCATGGGAAATATGACTAGACCCTTCAAATGCTTGTGATCTATTTGGCTCAATAGAAAGCCACTTTGTGAAGAGTCCAAAGGAAGGCAGCAAGCAGGGATCATGGGGGGTTGCTTCTCTTTCCACCACCTTTCATCTTAACCAAGCCAGGACTGGCCAACAGGAACCAGCCTCTCCCCATCCCCCAAACCACCTCTCCTTCCCCACCGCCATCCTATAGACATGGCAACTTTCCCTTTGATCCTGCTTCTGAAGGGTTGCAATGGGACAGTTCCCCATCCCCAATTCTTCCTGCACGATTTTTTTTTGTTCTCTGTACAATTAATTAGCTAATAATTTTTGCTTCTGATCCATTCCTCATTAAAAAGCTGAATCCCCGAGTTGGTGCTGTCGCAACAAAGGTGGGAGAATTTATGTCTTAATTTTGGTTCATTATGGCAGCAAGCCTCTTGCTCCCATCACTCTCTCCTTGCCCCTCCCTTCCCAGCGCTGAAGGCTCTGTGACCCTAAATGCCTCGCAAGCCAGCCACCATGGAGGCACTGTCTCTGCCCTTTATCTTCTGCCGCCTCATTAAGAGAAATGAACCTGAGTCTGAGAAAGACGACACAGGGGAAATAAAAATGTAATCCCTTGGTGCCACCTATAATGAATTGTTATGAAAACCATGAAAATATCTGTCTGCGGATATTGTTCTTTGATTTGAAGTCAGTGTTGTAAGCGGTAATTTTTGTCATTAAAGCTGTTAATCTGCTCAGCGCTCCTCATAAGTTTTTATGAAGAAAAACAGTGCTGCTGCCTCCCTGCTCTTTGCAGGGCACTTTGGAGGCCAACACACACGCAGAGCACCATGGAATAATTAGCTTTAATTATGGCTGCTACTGCTGTCTGTTGAAAGTGGAGGGACTTCCTGCTGCCAGGACTGGGACTGGGGCCTGCTCAGCCTTTGCAAACCCAGAGTCGAGGAGCTTCTGTCTTTGAGTCTGGGCTCCCAGCCATACCCCAGTTAGGGCAGAAGCACCCTGCTCACCACAGACTTACCTTAAAAAAGAGAGCGAGATGACGGTCATAGTCCAAAAAGGCTAGCTAGCAACCACAACTCTATCAAGGCAATGCTCAAGTTCTCTACCACAATCTTGCCCATCCATTCAATGAGGGCTAGACACAGGCTGCAGGCAAGTGACCTTCCAAATAAGTGTCCTCAATGTACTTACCCTCTGGGGTGCAGGCAAATATTAAATCAAGAAATGAACAAACATACAGAAATGATTTATTTTAGTGGAGAGAGTAATGTGAATACAGTGTATGATATGAATTGCCCAGAAGAGTCAAAATAGCCTAGACTGGAGTAGGCCAGCAGTCAAAAAATTCTGCCCTCAAAAGTCACCATTTTAAGCTGTGGGACCATTTTTAATACTTAGTTCTCCTTTGCTGGGTCCTCAGAGGGCAGAGGTGAATATAACCTGGTCCTCCTAAAAGCAAAAGGAGGAACATAGATGCAAAGCTGAAGGCAAGTCTGGCTGATTTCACCACTTTTCCATAGGAAAGCACAAACATGGAAAAGAAAGAGTAGCCAGTGTCACTTGCTGTGTTAGGATGAAGGAGGTGACGGAGGTGATGGAGGGATGACTTATATAGGTTCGTGTAGTTTACTTATCCCTCATTAAAAGATCCTGGGAAATGATGGCTCCAGCTAGGTGTCTAGTATCAGGTCACCCAAGATTCATGGGGTGAAGCTGAGGTGAGAGGTCACCAGGGAACTGCAACATGAGAAGCCAGAGCTGGAGTTCTGCCACTTCTGGAGCTTGTCCCCCCAGCAATTGCTACCCCAACCTCAGCCCCCAGCATTAGGCCTCCTGTTACCACAGATTTTGAATGGACAAGGCATTTGTCCCCGGCACATGAATTTAGAGACATTGAAGTTTTTTCTTTGTTTCATTTCAACAGTATTCAAAAATATATAGCTTAAGCGCTGCTTTGAATTAATTTCCTAGGGAGTTTTAAAAAGAAAAAAAAAAAAGATCTTTTCTTTGAGTCACCACACAATTTAAAAACATTTGGGTTTAGTTTGAGAGTTCAAAAATTTATATTCATTTTTTTCAGCAATTCATTAATCAATTCAGTTCAAGTCCCTTTAGTTGGTCTAACCCAGGAGAATCTATACAATGAAGAATTGTGGTTGTTTCAAATTCATCCAAACTTCCCATCACTCCCCCTCAGGACTGGGTTTATGGGTTCTGGGGGAATGGAAGATGGACCTTGTCTGAATAATAAGAACAGTGACTTCTAGTAAAGGGAAAAACAAATTAAACTATGAACTCTTACTAAGCTAGGAATCAAAGGGAGCTTGCTTACTATTACATATTATATATATATATATATATATATATATATATGTGTGTGTGTGTGTATATATATATATATGTGTGTGTGTGTATGTGTGTGTATATATATATATATATATATATCAGACACTAACCACAAACACACTGAAGACACTGCTATTAAAATCAGAACCAAGCTAGAATGCCCCATTCCTGTTATCCCTGAGATCTGTTGTGGAACCAATGCAGTAGGACAAAAAAAGAAATACTGAATAAATATTGGAAAGCAAAAGACAGTTACTATTATTTGTAGTCACAGTTATCTTCCTAGAAAATACAAGGTGATCAACCAAAAAAATATTTGAACTGAAAAGGTAATTCAACATAGAATAAAATACAAAATAAAGAAATAAAAACTAAAAGCTATCCAATATGCCAACAATAATCCATTAGAGGGCCTCCCCGGTGGCGCAGCGGTTGAGCGCTGGGTTGCGAAGCTGCCCGCGGCCTCTGCGGCACCGGTTCGATCCCCAGCTGCTTCCCGGCCACCGGAGGAGGGTCCCGCATGGCGCGCAGACCTCTCCTGCCGCCCGCTGCTCCCCTCAGCAGTGTACTTCGGTCCTTCTGCCTGCTCTGCTCCCTGCTCTGGCTCTGGTGAATTCTCTCACCCTCCCGCGCTTCTGACTGTACCCAGTGCATGTATAAACAAAACAAAACAAATAAAGAAAGAAAGAAAACATGCCTCTCTATAAAAAAAAAAATAAAAAAATAAAAAAAAAAAAAATAATCCATTAGAAAATTCCAGATTGAAGACAGACTGAAATTTAATAATATAAAATTTCTGAGAGAAATTTCTGATAATGTATTAAATTAAAACCATAATGTACTGTATTAAGTAAGATGATATATTAAAAATATAAAGTTCTTGCAAAAACAATCAAGACCTATATTTTTGTAATTCTTTGAAATAAAGTTAGGCATGATTTAAAAGTCTCGACACACTGAAGCTTAAACACATGATGCTATTAACAGAGCTTGTGGATTTGAACTCCTTGCGTCATTAATTTCCATTTTTGCCAGGTTCTTTACTAGAAATCATTTTGCTTCATTAACAATCAGCCTTTCCCGGCCCTGGGTCATAGAGAGCAATAGCATACAGTTTTAACTTTTTGCCTGCAGAAGGCAATCAAAGACCCTGGTTCTGAGATTTCAGCATCTCTGACTAACAACCAGTCACCTAGCTGTTCAACAGCACTTAGACTCACCTGAGCCACTGGAAGATAGATGACATACAGTCAGCATTTGTGAATGCACAAAATATAAACGCACTGAGTATTTGCTAAATGAGTAATGCTTACAACATGTCCAAGATTGTCGCATCTCCCTTATAACAAAAAAGAACTTAATTTTACTTAATTTCACACCTTCACAGGCAATCTCTCACTTCATCCTCACAAAAACTATAAAGTAAATAAGACATGTGAGTTTTAAATATTAATATGCATGCAGCATCTGCTCCATGGCATACACAAGCAGTCTAAACTTTTTACACACAGCAGCTCATTCTATGCCATCTCCTGACATTACTCCAAGATCACTATTATTAGGATGATGCTTATCTGATGGATAAGAAAACTGAGGCGTGGGTAAGTTTAAATTCTAATCACAGAGCCAGGAAGTGGCAGATCTATGAGGAGCCCAGGTAAGTATGACTCCAGAAGCATCCTTCTCAATACTTCTCGGGTTCTTTACTACTGTGCTTCCTTGACTACTGTGCTTTACTGTGCTTCCTCTGATGGTGAAATTATTCTTATGCTTTTTATCACAATCAGCAACAGCAGCATCATTAGCATCATTAGTGCCTGAGGCACTCCAACATGCATTGCATTAGCTTGCTGGGGCTGCCATCTTAGAATAAGACACATTTGGTGGCTACACCACAGAAATTGATTTTCTTACTGTTTTGGAGGCTTCAAGTTCAAGATCAAGGTGCCAGCAGGGTTGTTTCTGGTGAGACCTCTCCTCCTCTCTCCTTGGCTTGCTGACAGCTGCCTCCTGCAATTTCATATGGCACTTGTTAAGATTGTTCACATGGTCCTTCTCTGTTTAATGCACAAGTAACTTTTGCTCCTCACACAAGGACACCAGTGCCCTTAGATGAAATCCCCACCCTTATGAACTCATTTAACCTTAATAATCTCTTTAAGAACCTACCTCCAAACACAGTCATATTAAGGGTTAGAACTTCAATATATGAATTTCAATTCATAACACCTTTACTTAGGGGTCAGGAAACTGAGCTAAAGGGAAGTTAATGGGCTTACACAAGGACACACAGTTACACTCAAATCTAGATGTAGCCATATCTAAATCACAGGTCCTTTTCACTTCTCCACAGTAATTACTCACACTGTGGGAAGGTAAGTGGTATGTAAACAATGTAAATGAACCGATTTTCATTCTGCTTTGGAAAACTCAGTATACATTTTCAAACCCTGTGTTATCTTCAGCATTATTTCTACACTGCTACTAAAATGAGTTTGTGTTGCCTTACTGTGCCTTCACCCCAATCCCCAACCTTAGAACAAAGAGGGGTAGCCCAAAACCAAATTGACATGCATTGCAAAGACAGCAGGATATTAAAAACCTGCCATAGCTAACCACACACATATATAAACCAGGAACTGCAAACATGTGCTTTGATAGACTTAGAGAAAAAGGGCTATATAAATTCAAATTGCTCTCCTACATAGCTATCTAATTCGACTTCACAGGGTCCTAGGATGCAGATACAGTATTATTTTCCAGATACATTTATTTACTTATTTATTCAACTATCGTTCCCTGAACAGGGTATGCCAATTAGCAACCCTAAAGTACCTCATTTAGTCAACAGATGGCAGATGTTCTCTCACTTTCCCACCAACACAGACCCTTCTGGTCAGAAAAGGGATCTTTGCTGGGATCTTCCCTCAAGGGTCCTATCCATATCCTTCTACTCCCAGTCCCTACACACCTGCATAAGGCAATATACCTCTGCATTAGGTGTTATTATGCTTATTTTATCAATAAGAAAACTGAGACAAAAGAGAGTGCAGTGCCATAGAACTTCTAAGTGATAGAAGCAGGATTAGAACCAAACAGCCTTATACTAGAGCGTACATGCACCTACTATGCTGCCTTTTGTGACATGCTACATTTAATTAGCTTATCAACAGAACAGAAGAAAAGCTTAGGCCTGCAAGAGACAACTAAAGAAAGAAATTCTTAAGCTGGAAAAATAAGTCCTGATACACCAAGGGGTTTGCCAAAGCTACGCAATGAGGCAAGAGACAGGGTTCAGAACATGGATACCCTACATTACTTACCATCCTGACCCACTTTTAGGGAATCCAAGGAGCCTGGAAACTCCCTTAATCTCAGAGAATGGTCTGGAAGGTAACAGGAACCCAAGCCCAAGTCCACTACCAATTGTTCATTGGAGTTTGGTACCTCCTCCATGAGTAAGGGTAAACAAAGAGAGGGCATGCATCTCCTGCACAGAGTCCCATTATGGGCAATTATTCTGACAGGGACCAACTAAGAATTAAAAATAAATGTAATAGATGAGTTAATGTATATTGTGTAAGATGGAACTAGTATGATCAGGATGGGCCTCATGGAGATGGTGATATCCAAGCAAAGACAAAAGTTGGTAAAGGAGATTGCCATGTGTAGATTCCCAAAGAGCAAGCATTCCAGGAAGAGGGAGTGGCATAAGGCTAAGTGCCAAGGGGGTATGCAGAGGGAAAACTGTTAGGAGGTGATGCACTCATCCAAGAAGAAAGGACAATGGTCAGAGTGGTAGCTATGGAGGTGGTGAGAGTGGTTGAATTCTAAATCTGTTTTTGAAAGTCAAGTACATAGTTTTCCATTTTGGCTGTAGAATGTAGGAAACAACATATTTAAGCATGTCTCCATGCTTCTGACTGAGCACATGGAAGATGGATCAACTGAGAAAGGAAAGGGCGTAGATGAAGCAGGTTTGGGGCAGGAGTAGAAAAGAAAGTCAGGAATTTAGTTTTGGACAAACTGAGTTGGAGATAGCATTCAAATATTTGAATGATGAAGCTGAGTATGTTGTGGAATGTATGCCTTTGGTTCAGAAGCCTGGCTGAAGATATAAATTTTAAAGTCATCAGTATACAGATGGTATTTACAGCCAGGAAAATAGCCAAGTTCTCTAAAGAAGCAAATGTAGATAAAAAAGAGAGAAGGATGAAGGAAGAGCCCTGAGCACTCCAATATTTAGAAATCAAGAAGAGAACAGAAAAGAGGATTTGGAAGGAGCAACGAGTGAGGTGGGAAGAACCCAAAGAGGAGTAGGGTGTCCTAGAAACCAACAGAAGGTATATTAAGAAATAAGTGATCAGATATGACAAAAGCCACTGATAGGTAATATAAAATGAGTTCTGAAAAATGACCACTTAATTAAGTGATATGGAGGTTACCTTCATAAGATAAAACAAAACCTTGATCAGGGGAGGTTTCAGAGACAAAGGAAGGGGAGAAAATGAGACAGTACAGGGGAGCAAAGAAATGGAGTGACAATTAGCATGAAAAGTGGAACCATGAGAAGACTTTCTTAAGATGTAAAAAATAACAGCATTTTTTTTAATTTTAATTTTATTTTTATATTCCCCATACAATTGCAACCCCCTTATTTTGACCCCAATCCCTCCTTTCCCCGACCGCTACCCCCCATAGAGTGCCTCTGGTTCATAGTTAACACCATATCTTTTTAATTGATGAATATTTGGATACCCCGATCAGGCATTACCACCATAATATACTTACTACGCATTGCCTGTTTTTTTCTGACTACTATTTTATTTACTTTATATTCCATGTGTTAGTGACACCATCCAGTATTTATCTTTCTCCTTCTGACTTATTTCACTGAGCATTATCCCTTCAAGCTCCATCCATGTTGCCTCAAATGGCATGAGTTTATCTTTTTTGATCACTGAGTAATATTCCACTGTGTATACATACCACAGTTTCTTGTTCCACTCATCTAATCTGGGGCACTTAGGTTGTTTCCACTATTCAGCTATGGTAAAGAGCACTGCAATCAACATGGAGAGCAAGTTTCTTTTTGAATTTGTGTTTTTGAATTTGTGGGGTAGATGCCTAGGAGTGTAATTACTGAGTTGAATGGCAGATCCATTTTTAATGTTTTGGGACACCTCCATACTGCTTTCCACAAAAGCTGCACCAGTCTGCATTCCCACCAACAGTGCAGGAGTGTTCCCTTTTGTCCACATTCTCACAAGAACTTGTTTCTGATCTTTTTGATATAGACCATTCTCACAGGTGTGAAATGATATCTCATTGTGTGTGGATTTTCATTTTTCTAACAATAAGAGATTGGTGTCATTTTTGATGTGCCTCCTACTGTTTGAATGTCTTCTTTGGAGAAGTGTCTATTTAGTTCTTTTGCCAATTTTTTTGATTATTTGTTTTGTTTTTGTAGAGTTTTATGAGTTCTTTGTATAACTTTAATATCATTCCTTTATCAGATGTATGTGTGCAAATATTTTTCCCATTCAGTAGGGTGTCTTCATTTTAGTTTTCTTTTTTTTCACCATACAGAAGCTTTTTAGTTATAGCTTTTTTGATGTAGTAGCAGCTATTTATATTCTCTTTTGTTTTCCCTGTTGTTGGGGATGAATCCTTAAAGGCATCACTAAATCTTATGTCATGACATGTTTTGTCTATGTTTTCTTCTATGTGTTTTATAATTTTAGGTTTTACATACAGATCTTTGATCCAGTTTGAGCTGATTTTTTGTGTATGGTGTAAGATTATGGCCTAGTTTCATTCTTTCGCTTGCAACTATCTGGGTTTCCCAACACCATTTATTGAAGAAGCCATCCTTGTTCCAGTGTCTTTTGTTCCTCTGTCATAGATTAACTGTTCATATATGTGTGGGTTTGTTTCTGGCTCTCAGTTCTAGTCCATTGGTCTGTATGTCTGTTTTTGTTCCAGTACAAGGCTGTTTTAATTATCATGACTTTATAATATAGTCTGAGACCTGGAAGTGTGATACCGCCATCCTCTTTGTTCTTTATCAAGATTGCTTTGGCTATTTGAGGTCTTTTGTGATTCCATATGAATTTCACTAGTATGTGCTCCAGTTCTTTGAAATATGCCACAATATTTTTATTGGGATTGTGCTGAACCTGTATATTTTGGATAGGATGGCAATTTTGGACAATGTTGATTCTTCCAATTCTTTGTATAGATCTTTTACTTTCTTTGTTAATTTTACTCCTCTGTACTTATTTTTTTTCCTTTGGCATAATTGCAAATGGGATCACTTTCTTATTTTCTTCCTCTATCTTATTGTTTGTGTCTTAGAAGGCAACTGATTTATGTGTGTTGATTTTATACCCTGCCACTATTCTAAACTTATTAATTGGTTCAATTAGTTTTTCTGTGGAATCTTGAGGGTACTCTATATTATTATATCATCTGCAAATAATGACATCTTTACTTTTTCTTTCTCACTTTGGATTCCTTTTCTATCTTTCCTTGTCTAATTATTCTAGCTAGCACTTCCAATACTGTGTTGAATAGCAATAGTGAGAGTAGACATCCTTGTCTTGTACCATATCTTAGTGGAAAATCTTTCAGTTTTTCACCATTGAGACTGTTACTAGATATGGATTTGTTGTAAATGGCTTTTATTATGTTAAGGTATGTTCCATTTATCCCCAGTTTTTTGAGGGTTTTCAATATAAATGGATATTGTTTCATCAAATGCTTTCTCAGCATCTATTGATATGATTGCATGGTTTTTATCTTTCTTTTTGTTCATATGGTGAATTATATTGATTTATTTTCAAATGTTGAACCATCCTTGTGTACCCAGGATGAATTCCACTTGGTCATGGTACATGATATTTTCAATGCATTGTTTAATTTGGTTTGAGTAACAGCATATTTAAATGCTGATGGGGATAATCCAGAAATGAGGAAGAGACTGATGCTATAGGAGAGAAGGGTGAATT